AAATACCTCGGGAATTCCAAGGAGTACCACGTAAGCCTATGCACAAGTACACATACATGAAGAGGTTTACAACAGTCGCTTCCTCGTCCTCCCCTCTCCCCCTGCCCCACAGCTTTAGCATTCATCGCAATCAATACATATTGGGGCAACACGTGACCTGTTAGCCTTGGCCTGAGAAGTCCAATTCGTCAAACAAGCTATACGAACGCGTGCACACACACACACACCTAAAATGAGGGCACAACTACATCGGGGTGTGTGACGTTCAATAAACCCAACATATACATACACGTATATACGACTACGAGGGACAAGTTGAGCTGACCTCAAATGACCCATGTGTGCACGCTGGTTTATTCAATTAGGTAAGGTCACACTGGCTGGCATCAAGCCACCGACATTCTGAGATCAAGCTTTTTGGTTCATATAGAGCAACATCACCAGCACCAGCACCACCAGCACCAACAACCACAATCGAACCCGAGGGCTCGTTATCGACGCCGATAAGGGATTAGTTTGGGCTGCAGCGAATTACTTGATTGACTTGCTTCTTCTCCTCCACCAATTCAGCAACAATACTAATCAAATGATGAAATTACGCAGTTATTCATAAAATAATTATTCTAATAATAGGTCTCTGTCTAACAGACTACTTACCAACATCTGCAAACGTACTGTTTCTGAGCGTGAAGCCACGATTTAGGATAAACCAGGGCAAACATCTCAATTATACTAACATAGGATGGAATATATGTCTTGGTTGAAACCGTTAAAGAGCGCAACTGTGTAGCATGGTTGATGGAAGAAACAGTGAGTGGTTTATGGTGCGCTATTCTGACGGTTTACCTTTCCCAGACAGAGACAGTATCATCACTAGGATTTAGGTTACACGTCAGTGCATTTCGTTTAATGTACATTCAGATGTGATTCTGCCATGCAACGCCGATCCCTCTCTCTGCTAACCATGAGCTTAAAATCAAAGGAAAAAAATGGTGCACATTATGAAGAAACCCCGGACCGAGTGCCAAGGTGAATTTCCAATTGGGTTAACAGTGAATTGTTTCCGAAGGACGGAACGGTAAGGTGCTGACAGACCGAAAGACCATCGTCGTTTTGCGAATTATTTTCCTTGGTACCCCAATAAAAGACTACTTTGGTAATATCCACCTACACTTAAGTGGCAGTAGTAACTGGTGTACTTTAGACCCCAAGCTCCGAGGTTCGAGCACAGTCACCGCCGCAGTTATAAGGGAGAGTAGGTGTCTCCCGTCTTCCAGGTTGGTGTCCGAAAGACTCTGTAACTGATTGGTTGGAGACCCTCAAGGATGTGGTAGTGAACCGATAGCAGTTCCGTTCCTGTTGTCATTTCTTATCAGATCAGAGTGCTTGAAACGGTGTCTGCACAGTAAAACCGAGTACTCAATGTGTTGATTGAAGTTCTTTTCCTCTCCTCATTCAAAATTGGTCTAATCCCTATCCATTTCGAGTAACATCACTAACTTTGTATGCAATGCTAGTTCAGCAGCGATCGGTGAGATTCGCTTAACCGTATTCCGGATGATGATGCCGCTACCGAACTTTGGTGATAAGCAGTTACCTTGGGATCCGGTTCAATACGATGCCTACGAAACTGGGACCCTCATGTCATTCGCTACTAAAAGTCTCCGGATTTAGGTTGCCGACCATTATGAATGAACAATAGGTAAATGTGACCATTAGATTCTGTTTTTCATCACAAAATTGACAGATCCATATGGAGTGTCCTCTCATGATACTGTGAAATGCAACAAGAATGGATCAGATAGACAATGCCAAATCTGCCCCCAGTGATCCGCGCATGGTAAAAGGTTTGCCTGTCCAAAATTATTCAACGAAAGTTGTGTTTATATTGCTAGTGAAAGCAGTCAGAAGTTCCATCATCACCCAAAACGATCAAGTCTACTTCAAGATAGTAGATAGCTCTATTATTGAAGGCAATCGGGTGAATTACAATTCCAAGTCACACGCTTCTAGTCTGTACGGAACTGACATTCATCGTTGCTTAAAGTAGAAAATAACTCATCATCGTTCGGTTCAATACCAAGCCTATGTCATAAGGGCCGTATGCGCCTCACGCTACCGGGTACATCTCCAGGTCTTGGATAGAAAAACAGTCACTTAGATGGGCAACTGTGAGTAGACGAGCATC